TCATTGTTGTTTGGCGGGTCCAGGCTGGGGATTCGAACCCGCCACCTTAGGTGTACGTGGCTGGCGCCTTAGCCCGTTGAGCTATAGGCGCCGAGCCAAGACTGTTTTTAAAATAAAATTTCTTCTTATTGTTCTTTAAAGTTTTATTCTTAAAATAATTTTTATGAAAAATGACAAGTATGTTCAATAATTTTTTTGTAATTATATTTTATTTATGTCATAACTTTTGAAAAATACCTTTAGTCATTCCTTAGTCTGTAATTTTGTGTGATTTGATCTTTGGGCTACAGCTAAGTATTAACCGTTTATCTACCATATCTTTCCAACATGCAGAGGCATGATAAATTTCCAAAACAGGCAGAGATATTTCTCTGGTTTATATAAAGCTTAGAAAGACATTTTGACCATGCCCAGGAAAGTAGGTGATACTATTTTCTTTTTCTAATCATTTTGTGTTCCCAGTGGACTTAAATTCAATCCTCCCAGACCATTCCTTCTGCATATAAAAAAGTCAAAGTTTCTGTATGCTTTTCTCTTCAGGCCAACAGAAGTTATTTCCAATACAAACCTTGTGGAATTCTCTTCCCATTCTGAAATCTACAGTTTCTACAATGATGTCATACCTATGTAAATTTGCCTTTCCAACAAACAACCACCCTACTATCTCACCATATGGCCTCTTTTCAACAATGCAAGGGAAGTTTCAGGGCCTACAGCTCCGGAAGACAGAGAAAATGTGAAACTTTTCCGGTGTAAATGTGTCAACTATCCTTCCTCAAACTCAAAAATGCTAATTACCAAATTTCACCTACAGAAATTTGTTTTATTATTTATTTTTTTGAGACACGGTCTCAGGCTGTCGCTCTAGGTAGAGTGCTATGGTGTCACAGCTCAAGCGATCCTCTTGCCTCAGTTTTTCTATTTTCTTTCTTTTTTTCAGTAGAGATGGGGTCTTGCTTTTTGCTTAGGCTGGTCTTGACCTCATCAGCTCAAGCAATCAATTCACCTCAGCCTCCTGGACTACTAGGATTACAGGCATGAGCCACCCTGTCTGGCCCAGGAAATTTTAAATTGGTTGAATATGGGTCCTTCTTGCTTGTGAGGGAGTTATTACAAAAGAATTTTTAAAAATTATAATATTAGATACCTGTTTCTACACCAAATATTAAAAAAGGAGTAGGGCACCGGCCCCATATGCCGGAGGTGGCAGGTTCAAACCCAGCCCCGGCCAAAAACTGCAAAAAAAAAAAAAAAAAAAATTAGCTGGGCATGGTAGCCTATGTCTGTAGTACCAGCTACTCAGGAGGCTGAGGACGGAGGATTGCTTAAGCCCAGGAGTTTGAGGTTAAAGTGAGCTATGTGATGCTGCATTCTAAGCGCAGGCATCCAATTAAGACCCTGTTTAAAAAAAAGAAAAATTTTTACTATTGAGTTTTGTGTACAAAGATTGTAATCTTTTAGCCATCTCAAATATCGATCTATAGGTAACTGTAAAAAAAGAAATAAATTCAATACACTGAAACAACTCAATGTAAGGAACCTCTAATCACACATGGGGCCCTTATGGCTTCATCAAAAATTGGAAACTCTAGAGAAGTCCAAACTCAGTCCATTTTTACCAGTTCAACATTCGTTCCTCCAGTTCCTTCAGGAGATCCCGGTTGAGCTCATATAGCTGAGGCAAGTAGTACAGGATCTGATTTAGAATCCGGTCCTCGATCACTGGTTTCCCAAGTTGCCTGGAAACATGGGCTACTGCATCCCGGAAGTCCTTTTACAGAGCCGGAAAAACAACACACACACTCACAACTTGAGAAAAAGCTTATCGAACAGTGGTTGGGGTGGATATTTAAGTTTAGAACAGATGGTATGATGTGTCCCTTCAAACTTTTAGCTTGATTTCCAAACTTAACCATCATACTAACAGGATGTCTGGAAATTCTATTCAAAACTTCCCGTCTTTAATATTATTCCAGTATCATTGTATGAACACCATCCATTTATTTTAAAAGCCCTCAGGAGAGAGCTTAACTAATTTTACTGTGGCTTTAAAAGTCCCATTCACTGTCCACTTTCTGTGATCAGCAACTAGAGCATTCTAGGTAGAGAGCATGTGGGGGGGAGGCGCAGGCTCCATAATCAGGATCCTTGCTCCTCATTTCCTGTGTTTCCTTGAGCCAAACTCATTTACCTCATCTGGTAGGTGAGTATAACCCGTATGTCTTTACTTAGATATTGCTCATGGAGCTTTTCACAATGCACTTGGCACATAGAATCTACAAAATATTTTAAGTCTGTACCTTAAATTCCCCCCTCCTTTTAACCAACCTCCCAATAAATTCATCAGGGTTTATATACTTTTCACAAATAAAAAACTCTCCTTTCACATATTATTTCCTACTGTTTTCTCTAGACTATTTGTGCCATTTTTTTTTTTTAATATAGTTCACCACCACCACCCCCTATCACTCTAGGGGAACTAGAAGGGGTGGGGAAGGGGATAATTATTTGCCTAGATTTCTCTGTCCCCTGTGGGTAGGCCTCAAGATATAAGTGAAACATAGTGAAATCTGTTCAACAACAAAGATTTGGGCGGCAGCTCGGTGCCTGTGGCTCAAGTGGCTAAGGCGCCAGCCACATACACCTAAGGTGGCGGGTTCAAATCCTCAGCCCGGGCCCACCAGACAACAATGATGGCTGCAACCAAAAAATGGCCAGGTGTTGTGGCGGGCGCCTGTAGTCCCAGCTACTTAGGAGGCTGAGGCAGGAGACTCACTTGAGCCCAGGAGTTGGAGGTTGCTGTGAGTGTGATGCCACGGCACACTACCCAGGGGGATAGCTTGAGGCTCCGTCTCAAAAAAAAAAAAAAAAAGATTTGGGCGACGCCTGTGGAGTAGGGCACCGGCCCCATATACCAGAGGTGGCAGGTTCAAATGTAGCCCTGGCCAAAAAATAAATAAATAAACTCAAAGATTTGTTCCTTCTCAGATAAAGCAGTTGTCAATAAATCCTAAAGCAAACGTCAGGTAAAATGACTCTTTAATAGGCCTTATCTTCCTTTACCTTTATTTCCAAGTGCTTTTCCTTCAGGGATTCAGTGGGCAAATCAAATAAAAAAGATTCCATTCCTCCCTTGATCCATCAATCCTTACCGCAACATACCTATATTAGCCATGTGTATTTCTATACCTCTTACAGACCAAATAAATTCATACATACCTTAATAGTATAAAAAAGGATTCCTTTTTTTTTTTTTTAGGGCACTTTATTGCCCTTGGTAGAATGCCGTGATGTCACAGCTCACAGCAACCTCCAGCTCTTGGGCTTAGTTGATTCTCTGGCCTCAGCCTCCCAAGTAGCTGGGACTACAGGCACCTGCCACAAGGCCCAGCTATTTTTTTGTTGCAGTTTGGCCGGGGCTGGGGCCGGGGCCGGGTTCAAGCCCGCCAGCCTTGGTAGAAGAGGCTGGTACCCTACTCACTGAGCCACAGGAGATGCCTAGGATTCCTTTTCTATAGTATGGCTATTTTAGGTGGAGTCCAATCCTTTTCTGCTTAACAAACACTAAAAACCCCTTCCCTTAGAACTCAGTACCTAGGACTAACTTTATTGATCGAATAGTCACATTAGCTAGAAGGAATCGATTATTCACACCAATAACCAAAACTAATTAGCATAATGTAAGACTATTTAATGTGTATAATAAACTCCAATCCAGAAAATATCTTCAGAAACCAAATGGATACTGTACACGTTCTACCTGCCAAAGTCCTGTTTCAATCTGTAATCACATTTACTAACAGAAAACAGAGCTACCAACACTTCTCAAATCATTAGATTGTTTGCTATGGGGCAGTGCTATGGAATACATTTGCCTATCAGGAATAATTTCCTCAGTTGTAGATGCACTCAAAGCAAAACAATTAAATATCCTTAAGATTTTTCCTTTGTTTTTACTAGTTTAGTGATTAATATAATTTACATGGAAGATTTCATTGTTCTGAAAAGTAAGGTGCATCACCTTTTCTTCTGATAAGTGATGGCTGTGTCCTGTGGCAGCAGCATAACTTTTGTCTTCCAGTTGGAAGGTATTTCCTAAACCATGACAGTGACAGTAGATATTAGCTGCTAAGTAACTTAAGGACCCAATCTGACACAGCTTTTGCTAGACTGCATTCCATATGCCTGCCACCACTGCCAAGAAGGAAACTTGTTTAAGACACACTAAACAAAGCCCAGACAAATTCAAACTGGGCTGACCAGTAAGATGGCCGCCTCTAAATGGAGGCCCTTGTCATATACGAGGGGAAACTATTTCTCTAGTACTAGAAGATGCTTGGCATGATCATAGTTCACTGCAACTCTGAACTCCTAGGCTCACAGAATCTTCCTACTTGAACCTGTCAACTAGCTGGGAATACAGGCACATGCCACCACGCCGGGCTAATTTTTACGTTTTATTCTTTGGTGGAGACAGGGTCTTGCTATGTTGTACAAGCTGGTTTCAAACTTCTAACCTCAAGTGACCCTACTTGACTTGGTCTCCCAAAGTACTGGGATTACAGGAAGAAAGTAGAAATTGAATAATTAAAATACAAAAAGAACATTTAAGAAAGATGACAGAAATTTAGAGAACGTATGTCCTTAAGACCCAGGGATGTGGGCAGCACCTGTGCCTCAGTGAGCAGGCTGCCTCAGCGAGGGTGGTAGTTCAAACCCGGCCCCAGCCAAACTGCAACAAAAAACAGCCAGGCACTGTGACAGGTGCCTATAGTTCCAGCTACTTGGGAGGCTGAGGTAAGAGAGCCTAAGCCCAAGAGCTGGAGGTTGCTGTGAGCAGTGATGCTACAGCACTCTACTGGGGGCAACATAGTGAAACTCTGTCTCAAAAAAAAAAAAAGAAAAAGAACTTCCCACCCTTCATAGCTGTTCAGGTTCCTCATCATTCTCTATCCCCTAGTGATATCCCCTGGTCTGTCGTCAGCAAGAATCCTGTTAAGTTGGTTTGGCCAGAATCCCCCTTACCCTTGAGGTAGCCCCTTATTAACTGCCCATCCAGTGACTTCCACTTTGCTCCTTGGCTATAAATTCTCACTTGCCCATGCTGTATTTGAAGGTGTGCCCAATCTCTCTCCCACACTACAAAACCCACTGCTGTGGTCCCTATGCCTATGGCAACAGTCCTGAATAAAGTCTGCCTTACTGTAATCTAACAAGTGCAGTAATCATGGGATGAGACCAAACTGGGCCTACTCTGCTGATGACAAAATGTCAAGTCACCTAGTAGGTATAGCAAAGCCAAAAACTACAAGTCAACATAGCACAGGCATGTGCAATGAAAAAGCTCTGACTTCTAACAACACCTAGAACTGACAGTTCTTCCCCTTAGAACCAAGAAGACCAGGACATGATCAGAACACGAATGCTAGAACTCTTTCAGAAGCAAGAGGTCTGTTGTCCAGAAGATCTTTAACATATGGTATCATAAATGGTCAAATCTGAATCCCTCCCGTCAGATCCTGCCAACCCAACATTACACAACCCCTCTCCTTGCTCTCCAAGCTCATAAACTTGCCTTACATCCCACACCGGGGAGACAGATTTGAGCCCACAATAAAGCTGTGAGTCTTTATTGAGTCCTGCAATAAAGCTGTTCTTTTCTCAAAAAGCAGTGTCATATTATTGGCTTTTATGTGCATTAGGCAGTGAGCCCATTTGCTCAATAACAGTGTCATGGATCATGTTTTCTTTTTGTTGATTTTTGTTTTTTTTCTGTAGAAATAGAGTTTCACTTTATTGTCCTTGGTAGAGTGCCGTAGTGTCACAGCTCACAGCAACCTCCAACTCCTGGCCTTAGGTGATTCTCTTGCCTCAGCCTCCTGAGTAGCTGGGACGACAGGCACCTGCCACAATGCCCAGCTATTTTTTTGTTGTAGTTTGGCTGGGGCTGGGTTTGAACCCGCCAACCTCAGCATGTGGGGCTGGTGCCCTACTCACAGAGCCACAGGCGCTGCCCAAAAGGTGATCTTTGTGTGTGTGTGTGTGTGTGTGTTGCAGTTTGGCAGGCAGATTTGAACCCACCATCCTCGGTATATGGGGTCAGCGCCCTACTCCCTGAGCCACAGGTGCCGCCCACTGGATCATTTTTTCTATAAGACTACCAGGGCCATCACTGGTATTCACGGTGAAATTTTTGCAAACAGAAAAGGGAACTCCCTAGAGGCCAAAACAAATTCACACCAAGGGCTCCACTCACAACTATGGCCTCCATAACCACATGCAGTAGGTGTGGCCCCAATCACATTCCCTTACCTCTTGGGCCACCAACCCCTGACAGCAACGTGTTTGGCCCCAGGGCCAGATGTAACCAGTTCACACAGAACTACACACAGAAATCTTTAACTTCTCAGCTCTTCACAAGCTTCAACCATTGCCAAAACTGGTTGGCAATGGAAAGATATATCTATTTTTTTCTTAGTAAAAAAAGGATGATTACAACATATATCTGGTTATTTTTTTTTTAATGTTAGCAGCCAGGATAATTTGGGGAAAGTGTAATGACACTTAAGAGCCAGAGGCAAAGCTATTTGGGGGCATAAGAATCTAATCTAAATTCACTAATACCTCCTTGACTCAATCAGTGTGGATGCAGGAGAAGTCATTCAAAACCCAGATCCATTGTTTGCCTTTTCACATTGGAGAAGCTGAGTAATTACAATAAGGATGGGAGTCTAGACTGTGAAAATGTTAGGCAAGCTGCAGAGTTTATTGGCTCGACTACCTGTACTTTAGTCCTTACATGTAAAACTGACCCAAGTTTCTCTATGTAGAACTGAACTGCCTACACTCTCGTTTCTGGTCAAAATAACAAAATGTTTGCTCAACTTAGAATTTTTAGTGACAGAAATGGGGCTCTGAACTTTAAAGCTTATCATAATATTATTCTTAATAATTCCACTGAAAATTACACTTAAAGACCAGTTCAACTTTAAACTGATCTTCAATTCCTTGGAAGTATTAATATGCTAGCCTCGCCAGCTCTGATCACTTGAGGAAGACCTAAGCAAAATTCAATGCAAATAAAATTAAGCACGAAACCTCTGAGGCAGTGAAGCAGAAAACAGATGCCCTTGTTTGGGGTCAGACTTTGTATCTCCAGTGCCAAAGAGGAGCGTGTGACTTAATTACCCAGCTGTCCTAACTGGGCTTCCTGACCTCAGGGCATTACTTAACCAAAATCGTGATACAGTGAATTACAAAGACTAGACGGACATATGGACAGAAAGGGGGCTCTTTAAGACTCCCTGTCCTCGTGAAGGACACTAAGAATCAGTTCATATTAAGCAAAAGTAAAGCAGCTGTTGAGGTCAAAGAGCTAATGATAAATATGCAGAAATTAGAACAAAACTATGAAGTAAAAATAGGGGAAAGGGAAGTCCCCATGTTAACAATTTGACTTACTTTATAAAATGAAAATATTTTTCCAATGAAATTATTCTTTCTTCTGTATATACACAGATCCGGTGGTATGGTGCATAACCGTCAATGTAAAATTATATAAACCATGGCTAAAAACAATCGAAGTTTCCAACTCCCTTGAATAATATTAACAAGTAATCATAAGATATCCCAAGTGACTAAGACCTAACTTCATTTTCATCTTTAGAAGATGAAAACCAAGAATTTCTCTAGTTTCCTTGACAACCAAAAGAATTCTGAAGGCAAGCTAAAGTGTAATCTGTACCTAAAGATATACTATACCCTATATAGCAGGGTGGAAATTTCAAGAAACAATTTTTAATCAATTTCTAAACACTCACTAAGCTCAGACAGATCAGACATCAAAGTCTGGCTTTGCCATGGAGTAGTGAGTTACTTTTGGCAGTTACCTTACTGTCTCCATTTAAAAGAAGAAGAAGAAGAAATAATATCTATCTGATACAGTTGTTATGAGGATTAAAATAGATAATTTATGTAGCACAGCACGCTGTAAGGCATTTAGAGACCACTCAGTAGAAGGCTACTTATTTAATTAAGGAAGAGATCTGATAAATTTAAATGATCAGATGAACATCATGTATGATCCCAAGTCCCTGAAAGCTTGGAAAAAGAGCTCTGAGAAAGAGACATATAAAGACAAGAAAATACCAAACCAAGGTGGGGAGAAACACCTGAGAAGCAACATGAAGGAGCTCTGAACAATGAACTTCACTCAGGGAAGGACAATCCTCTTGGGCATGAAGTTGCTCAGAAGTGAAGGTTTGGTCCTCAGTGTCAATAAAAGCTAGAGGAGGACTCTTTACACCCAAAGACAAAATGAGAATTAAATGGGTTACAAGATTCAAAAGATAGGGCATTTTCAGTAAAACAAGATGAAGTTATTTTAAGACAGGAAAAACATGAGAACTGAGGACGTCTTCTATTTCTTTTATAATGCGTTTAAAAAAGGATATACTTGGGCAGAGCCTGTGGCTCAGTGGGTAGGGCGCCGGCCCCATATACCGAGGGTGGTGGGTTCAAACCCGACCTCGGCCAAACTGCAACAAAAAAATAGCCAGGTATTTCTGGTTGGTGCCTGTAGTCCCAGCTACCTGGGAGGCCGAGGCAAGAGAATCGCCTAAGCCCAGGAGTTGGAGGTTGTTGTGAGCTGTGACTTCACAGCACTCTACTGAGGGCAATAAAGTGAGATTCTGTCTCAAAAAATATATATATTCTATTTAGTAATAATATACGTCTGTATGCCCGGTAGCCTTGCCTCTGGCTCTATGAATTTTGTTAAATCTCTCTTAATTTCAAAGGAATGTATGTCTCAACCTAAAAAATTAGTGGAGCAAAGCTCTTTCATCATTAGTACTATTTAAGCAGCACATCTTTATCCAGATGGCCCCAAATTCTCTCATCATTTCCTTCCTAAATGTATTTTTTTATTTTTTAATTCATAATATTTGGGCAATTATAAAATACATGTATAGAGATGTTTACTAAACCCATCTTCCAGAGAAGTAATATAACACACCAACATCAACCGCAAAAAACCCCATCATATCACATGTAATTAGACTATATTATATGTCTAAGGTGTGGTGGGGATATTCATGGCAAAGTAGCTAGTATACAAAGAAGTCCATCACTTATTTAAGAAGCATATCATTGATATGAAATGACAGTATGCTTGGCTTGGAACCCGTAGCACAGTGGTTACAGTGCCAGCCACATACACCGATGCTAGTGGGTTCGAACCCAGCCAGGGCCAGCTAAACAACATCAGCCGCAACAAAAAAATAGCTAGGCTTTGTGGCGGGCACCTGCAGTCCCAGCTACCTGGGAGGCTGAGGGAAGAGATTCGCTTAAGCCCAAGAGTTTGAGGTTGCTGTGAGTTGTGACGCCACGACACTCTGAGGGCGATAGCTTGAGACTCTGTCTCAAAACAAAAAGAAATGACGATATGCTTGAAACTCAACAAATTTGTTTGGGCTATGAACAATTGTCTTGCCATCCAAAAAAATTAATTACAAAAGAGACCTTGCCAATAGAGTCCAGAGTTAATGTGAGAAATTATTCACAGGGAAATATTTTCTCAAAATGAATTAACAATGTGAAGACATATTTTTAAGAAAATGTTTCCAAAGCTAGAGATTTTTCATTGTTCACATAGGAATTAGGTGTTCATGTTTCCACTGGACCAAGTGTATAGCACAAGAGAATCATCTGGAGAATGACAGTCACCCATGACTATAACCCACTTTTCAAGGTCATATGTATCTATTAAAAGAAAAACTGAAAATAATCTTTGCAAAGACATAAATGGGTATATATTTCTGTAAGCCGTTTCCTTCTTGGCAACTTAAAGATAATTTATGGTAGTAATAATTACACCACATAAGTACATTTTCACTTCAATTTCTTTTATCATTGTTTACGTCTTTCTTTTTTTTTTTGTCTCTCTTTTTTTAAGCCTTAATAACTTATCTAAATGCAACTGGAATAAAGTAATGCCAAAGCCATGTTCACTGCCAATGAGCAACAAAACTTGTAAAAACTTGTAAGCACAAACAGGTCTGTTCAAGTTGACAATTATAAAAGTTGAAAATAAAACTTTAAAAACTTAGTTATAATAATGTCTATTTCAAGTGTCTGTCTCCGGGAGCTTATTCAGATAGCAGAATAACTGTTTTAAACAATTCCGATGACATTATCCATTGCCAGTACAAAATTCTATTAACAGCATGGATCATCTCCAAATGCCCAACAATATATACAGGATGGCCATGAAATGATTAATAGATGATCATATATTAATGGATGAACATTTTAAATTGCCCACAAATTTTATGGCCACCTGTATTATCACCTTACAAATTATGAAGATAGAAAGTTTGAAGACTTTGAGACATAGATACAAAGGCTCTGGTTTTCAGAAATCATCTTGCTAATATATATGAGATACATACATTTTAGAAAATGTCTATAGTGCTTTCAGATATATGTGTGAATTTTAAAACGTAACCATAGAGTAGAGAGCATATTCACATGTCATTCATTCAAGTTATGCTGAAAACAATTGGGGGGGGGGCGGAGGGAAAATGCAAAAGGGGATAGTCTTAGACATTGAGAAAATATTAGCAGATACTCACAATATGCAAAAGTTTTAACACATCCACAAACCTGTAAAAAACAGCAATGAAAAAAACATTTTAAATGAGTCCGTGAGGGAAGAAGCAGTCTTCTGAACTGTAAACTTGATACCTACACTTTCTCAGAGCTCATGATCTCTTTGGCAATATGATGAACTTTACTTTTCATTCCATTGTCTTCACCCTGTGGATAAGAGTACATTAAAAAAAAGTAAGAACTCATAAAAGGATAATGAAGTACAGATACGAGCTCGTCAGGTATAAATTTTAACTCTGATACATGTAAGTTTCTTATTAGCACACAATTTATACCATATAACACCTCAAATGGCAAACGTGGAGACTCAGGCGAGCAATAAACCATAATATAGGCGGCAGCAGAGACCTATCCTTATTGACATTAGCTGGACTGATGGAGGACCATGAGTAGCTCCAGGACCTTGAGGAAGCACAGCCATCAATGGTCCAAAAGGGAACAGTCCCAGACCAAAAGCCTGCAGGGGAAATGACCCCTACAGGGGTCAATGAAGAGGAAACCTGTGGATGCACACAAGTATTTTACGACTTCTTAGTGAACATCCAATCGGAATGTGTGGGAGAACATTCCCTTGAGTAGACCATTTTAACTCAGCTGACTAGATTTACCTTAAATTAACAAACACTAACTTTGTTTTAATTTTATGTGGTTTTTTTGTTTTGTTTTGAGACAGAGTCTCACTATGTTGTCACCCTCAATAGAGTGCTGTCGCATCACAGCTCACAGCAACCTCAACTCTTGGGCTCAAGTGATTCTCTTGCCTCAGACTCCCAAGTAGCTGGGACTACAACACCCCCCACAAGACCCAGCTATTTTTTGGTTGTAGTTGCCATTGTTGTTCGGCAGGCCTGGACTAAGTTAGAACCCACCAGCTCTGGTGTATGTGGTTAGCACCCTAGCCACTGAGTTATAGGTGCTGAGCCAAAATTTAGAATTGTTGATCACGTCTATGTTCAGATCTACAAGGGAGAACTTTTTTGTGTAGATTCATTTTTTACTATATTGAGAATCATTAGGTCATACATAACTGGCCAAGAGAGGTCAAACACAGTGGATATATAAAGTGAGAACTGGACCAAAAGTAGGATCCCAAACAATACCCATTTAAAACAGAGATTTTCCAAGACTCAGATAGATTATCAGCAAAGTTGGGAAGACAATTCACATTTCCTAATAGCTAAACTAAGAATTATAGTCCCATACATGCACTGCTAAACATATACCCACATATATACTCCCCCACAAAGGCTTAACAAACATTCTGTAATATTTGCTTTAAATCTTTTCACGAAAAAATTTGCTTTTTACAATATTTTTTGGAGATAAGAGTCTCACTCTGTTTCCCCAGGCTAGAGTGCCATGGTGTCAGCCTCACTCACAGTAAACTCAAATTCCTGGGTTTAAGCAATCTTGCTGCCTCAGCCTCCAGAGTAGCTAGGACTACAGGCACCTGCCATGACATCTGGCTAGTTTGTTTATTTTTAGTAGAGACAGGACAGGGTCTCACTCTTGCTCAGGCTGGTCTCAAACTCCCGACCTCAAGTAAACCTCCTCCCTCAGCCTCTCAGAATGTGAGGATTACAGGCCTGAGCGACCTTACTCAACTGAAATATTATTGTTATTATTATTTTTTTTTTAGAGACGGAGCCTCAAGCTATCCCCCTGGGTAGAGTGCCATGGTATCACGCTCACAGCCACCTCCAACTCCTGGGCTCAAGCGAGTCTCCTGCCTCCGCCTCCCAAGTAGCTGGGACTACAGGCGCCCGCCACAACGCCTGGCCATTTTTTGGTTGCAGCCATCATTGTTGTTTGGTGGGTCCGGGCTGGGGATTCGAACCCGCCACCTTAGGTGTATGTGGCTGGCACCATAGCCGCTTGAGCCACAGGCGCCGAGCCAACTGAAATATTATTAAATATAACATTAAAGTTCTTGTCTTCCTCCTTCGGAAGTAACCACTAATCTTGCAGTTTGTGTATATTTGTCTCTCCATGTTTTCATACTTCACTGCATAATTTACACGCATTACCCCGAAATCCTAACCCTTCCATCAGAATATAAATCCTAATTGACCTCCCTTTGGATCCTGTAATTCCTCTTCTAGGTGTATATCCAAGAGACCAAAAATCACTTTGCAAAGAAGATATTTGCACCAGATTATTCATTGCAGCTCAATTCGTGATAGCCAAGTCATAGAATAAGCCCAAGTGCCCACCAACCCATGAATGGATTAATAAATTGTGGTATATGTATACCATGGAATACTACGCAGCCTTAAAAAAAGATGGAGACTTTACCTCTTTTATGTTTACATGGAGGGACCTGGAACATACTCTCCTGAGTAAAGTATATCAAGAATGGAGGGAAAAGTATCCAATGTGCTCAGTACTTCTATGAAACCAACTCATATTTACTCACACTTTCTTATGAAAGATGGAACACAACTATAGCATGGCCCAGGATGAAGGAGAGAAATGGAGTGAGAAGGGAGAGGAGGGAATAGGTTTGATAGAGGGAGGGTAAATGGTGGGACCACACCTATAGATCATACTGTAAGGGTACAAGTCAAATCTATCAAGTGTAGAACATAAATGTCTTAACACAACAATCAAGTAACTGAGGCAAAAGCTATATCAATTAGTTTGATGTAAGCACGTCAAATTATATAAAAAAAAATACATTGTACCCCATATTTGCATAAATGTATTCATGACTTAAAAACATATATAATTTTTTTATTTATAAAAAAATCCTATTTGTACAAATATAGAAGATGTTCAAATAAGGCTATGAAACCAACTATTTATGAAAATAATCTTTAAAGAGCAATCAATTACTAATTCAGGTACAAAACAGACCCATTTAATCAGCTTAGAATATTATGTTTTGCTACTCTTAATTTACCTCCTTAACTCTTTCCCTAAAGGGACAATTGGATGAATTTGACCCCATCACCATCATGATTCCTGTTTTCTAAGACAGGCTATTTAATGTTCTTCAGACAGGCTGTTGAATGACAGGCTAACACTAAGTTTTGTTCACTCCACCCCATTCGCTCACCTTTTAAACTACACATAGCTAAAATTCTTCAGAAAGCAATCTTAAGCACAATCTGATCTCGCACGCCAGGTACCAGTCATAGGCTAATAACGATGCTTGTGTGTGTGTGTGTGTGTGTGTGTGTGAGTGTGTACGTACACAAACATGAATAATTATTATTAGGAATGCATTAGAAATGAGAAACAGAAACCTAACCCATTGAAAGAACTGAAGGCTTGACTCCACACTCTCCATTTTCAAATAATGTGAGGGTCCTTAAAGGTCAAGAGAGGAACTCAGCAATAGCTTTAAAGAAATGCAAGCACATTATAGGTTTTTTCCTATTTCTTAATTTTTCTTTTTGGAGACAGAATTTCACATTTTCACCCTCAGTAGAGTGCCGTCGCATCATAGCTCACAGTTACCTCAAGCTCTTGGGTTTAAGTAATTCTCTTGCCTCAGCCTCCCAAGTAGATGGGACTACAGGCGCCCACCACAATGCCTGGCTATTTTTCAGAAAAAAGGTCTCACTCTGGCTCAGGCTGGTCTCAGACCTGTGAGCTCAGGCAATTCACCTGCCTCGGCCTCCCAGAGTGCTAGCATTACAGGTGTAAGCCACCATGCCCAGCCCTTTTCCCTATATTTTAAATAAAATTTTTTTCTCTTTTTTTCTTTTCACGTCAGACGGGTAATGTGCCAACGTCGTAACAAGATTTGTGGGAGGCACATCTCATGCACACACTTGAAAACCCAACCATCATGCTTATGAACTACAAAAGGATCTTAAATAAAATTTTGTTTGAATTTAATTTCAGAATGTTACAGGGGTACAAATGTTTTAGTTACGTGCATTACTTTTGTACACCTTGAGTCAAGGTTATAATTACGTCCCTCCCCCAGGCAGAGCACTCTGTAGATGTGGAAGCATTCATTTAGTAGACACAACTAAAATGCACACCAGGTCTATACAGACATTTCAAGTAGGTGTAATTTATTTTTGGCATCCAACCCTTGTTTCCTTCCTTTTTTTAGCACTCTCCTTTTGTTACGTTTCTATTCTTTACCTTTTTCATCTTATCAGGATCTTGTTCTGCCAGGGCAGGCCTGTGTAGAGCTGAGAGAGGATACCCAAGAAGGGTGAGGTCTGGGAGAACAGGTCTTCTCAAGGAGACCACAGGATACACCTGTGGGGTCCTCTCCATGGTGAATCAGCTCTTGGGAATTCGTAAACTTAACTTCCTGAAACTTGGAAATTTCCAAGTTCTGTGAAATCCTGTAGTTCTATAGGGGCTGGAATAGCATCTCCCGCTTGATTCAAACTGGCCAATGAGAAGGGTACCTGTGGGGTGGAACTTTTGGACTGTTGATAAAAAGGGAAAGACCAAGCCAGTCGGGGAGCGCGGCCATTTGGAATTCTTCTATGCCGTAAGCTCCTGGTTGATGAATAAGGCCCTCCTCTTATAAACGTGGTGTTTGGGTGCTCTTTCTCTCCTTTGGGCCTCATCTTCTAGCAACAGAGCTATATCTATTAACATAAATAAAAAAATTTGGGGGGTGGCATCTGTGGCTCAGTGGGTAGGGCGCCAGCCCCATATGCCAAGGCTTCAAACCCAGCCCCAGCCAAACTACAACCAAAAAATAGCCATGTATTGTGGCAGGCACCTGTAGTCCCAGGTACTCAGGAGGCTGAGGCAAGAGAATCGCCTAAGCCCAGGAGTTGGAAGTTGCTATGAGCTGTGTGACACCATGGGAGTCTACCGAGGGCGATAAAGTGAGACTCTGTCTCTACAAGAAAAAAAAAAAATTTTTTTTGAGACCATCTCACCTTGATGCCCTAGGGAGCATGCCATACTGTCATAGCTCACAGCAACCTCAAACTCTTGGGCTCAAGCCATCTTCTTGCCTCAGCCTCCCAAGTAGCTAGGACTACAGGTGTTTGCCATGACACTCAGCTAGTTTTTCTACTTTTAGTAGAGGCTTCTCACTCTTGCTCAGGCTGGTCTTGAACTCCTGAGCTCAAGCAATCCAACTGCCTTGGCCTCCCAGAATGTTAGGATTACAGGTATGAGACACGATGCCCAGTTAGCAGGTATGTTATTTCACTGTAAAT